GTTCCCTTTGCCCGAAGAGAGGGGATTCTTACAGAGTAGGCATGAGTTGGTAATCATACAAGCCCACTGCTGTGTGGAAAGAAAGTACATGCTGTGGGCACGCCAAGTCTCATTTGGGTCCTCTCCATGATTTGGGTCACGCTTCTTGAGTTCCGCCATGTTCCTCACAGGTCAGAATATCCCTTCTAGAGCCTTCTGATGGCAGTGTTTGTAATTTCCTGGCTGGGATTCTATGCAGAAAATGGCGCCATCACGACATGCTCTCCATCACGACAGGGTCCGAAGAATTCAACAGATGCATGTTCGAGGTGTGTTCTCATTGTGTGCAGCCTTCATTAAAAGCAATTAAGACTTGGCATATATTCTTTTTGGATGATGAATAGGCCATCTCCACTCCTCCTTTTGGGAGGTCAGTTACCAGTTACCAAAAATGAAACACCTGCCTTGACATCAACGTGCTGCTGCCTGAAACTGAGCTGGTCGCAGCTTTCTCGAAGCTGTTAAATCCATCTGTTGTGCCAAAAAAAATGGGGCCTTGTGTTTACTTAAGTCCTGAATAAATATGGTGGATTTGGGGACACAAGTCTGATGAAAAACTCCTCCCTAGGCCAACATGATTAAAAACTGTTAGCTTGGTTAGCTATCATTTATAAAGCATACGGACCTGGATGGCAACACACGGTCATTTGGTGGCATAAAGCACGTTGTCGAAGAAAGCCTCTCCCAATTTGAATTCCAATTAATGCAATTAATATTTTCCATGCACAGCATCGGGGAGAACACATTTCCCCGTGATTTAAATGAGCCAGGTTGGCATGATGTACACAATTAATCGCTGAAGGGCTTGGGAGCAGATTGCTGATTATGCCAGGAGGTAGGAAGATGAGCTTATATAAAACCCAGCTTAACACTTTATTACTGTTATTTTCCAGGTATTCACGGGAGAGGACGCTGGATTCCCCGAATGTCTTACTCCTTGGCTAGAGTTTACTGTGTTACCTCAAATGCCTCAAAGAGGGGCTAAGTATAAAATCTTCCCACAGGAACGCTCATGCTTCTGTCTAGGGTGGGGCAGGCAGGGCTGGCGGGAGGCTTGTCACCTTCGGGATGTGGAACTCGAAGAGGCAGAGTAAGCGACTGAACGAGAACTCAGTGTGGGACCCACAGGAGGAGGCTGTTTCATTCACTCGTTAGCCCCAGTGTTCCAGACCTCATCACAAACATCACTGCTGTGGACTTTCAGAAGTTTGCAGGGGACTTTCACCATCTTTGATCTGCAGATGAGGACACAGAGGCTCCAAGGTTTCCAGTGACAGAGCCAAGTCAGAGTGAGTCAACTGGATGACAGACAGCCCTGGCCTGCCGTGGACCTCTCTGCCTGCCGGTTGGGTCTGGAGGCCACACTCTCTCCCAAGGTCCTTCCTCACAGCCATGGCAGAGCGCTGTACAGGGAATTCCTCTCTCTGGACTCCCAGACACAAATGCAAAGTTCACAGGTCTCAACTCTTTCCCACAGAGGAACATGTGTTTTTGTGGAAAGACCACACAGAGGAGTCAGGCTCTGTATGTTGTTTCCAGATCTGGCCTGCACTGGCCGCGTAGTCTGAGTCAAATTATAGAGCCCCGGCCACACTCGGCTGGAAGGAATTTGGGGATTGCCTCTGTTGGTGCATCAGAACCACCAGGACTACTCCTTAAGGCACAGATTCCTGGGCCTCACTCCCGGAGATTCTGATTTAGTAGGTCTGGGGTGGTGCTGGATTTGGCTTTTCCAGCAAGCTTCCAAGGCAGGCTGATTCACGGACCACACTCGAGCAACACTGACCCGTGCTACCTCGTCTTAAGATGGATTGGCAGGCTTCTTAAGGGCCAGATAGCAACTATTTTAGGCTCTGCAGACCATCCAGTCTGTGCTGCAACTACTCAACTCTGCCCCTGTAGCATGAAAACCGATGTCAACAATGTGTATGTGAACGGGTACGGCTGTCTTCTGATAAATCCGAACAAAAACAGGACGTGGCCCACGGGGTGTGGTTTGCTGACCCTTCTTGGACTCACCCCATGCTAACAGCAACTTGGGTCTTGAGTTATTTCCTACCTCTCTTGCTGCAAAATGGGGATGAGATTCCTAGCAGTATCCTCCTCCAGGGTGATGGTGAAGCCACCACATCTCAATAAACACTGGAAGAATGCTCGGTATCAGGCCCAATCAGCTCCCTATTATACGCTATACTGTCTGGGAGTATGACACCTTCGTTGATTATCGTAACCTTTGAATCTGGTTTTGTGCGCCCTCTAATTATCAGGCATCACATAAGAAAAATAAGCATGCTAAGAGATGACAGAAAGGATCATTTTGAAGGGCGATTTAGGAACTTTCTTGCTGTCAGAAAATAAAAACAGAACTGCCTCTAGCACGCAGAACAAAAAATGAGTGTGTGACACAGCATGACAAAACAACAGTTGATGCTGGCCTGAAACACCACCTGCCTTTGCCGAGTGTTCTACAGAAAAAAAATTCTGCAAACAAAGACATAACCAACAAGTTATATTATTTTTTATTCATGTTAGAATTTCTATCAGTGTTTGAACATTAATATTTAGAGAGTTTGTACATTTCACCTTCCAAGGTTTAAAATGAGAACCACACTAGGTCACAAATGGTAACTAATAAACATGTCACGATCGCGGGAATATCCAGTCGCTCTCACTCTCTTAACACTGTTAAACATTTTCTTTACCTTGCTGCAATTTACAACGAAAAGTGTGTCCCACTCATGTCTCAGCAAAGTTCCAGACGTTATGGATTCATCACATATAAATTCTTTAAAAATATACTTCTGTCAAAAGACTTGATGACTACTATGTACACTACAAAAATAAATTTTCATATAAATAAATTATATGGCATACTTTTATCTTTGCAATTGAAATGACACACACTCATCTCCACCCACACTGGCAGACAATGAGACCCCGTTTGAATATTTATTTTCTTTAAACTTCTTACGTAACACCTACCATGAGTCCTTAACGTCAATGTTATATACTCTGAACTATTTAACATTAGTAAGCACTCTATACAAATAAAAATTCTGTTCAAAGTAAAACATAGCTGTAATAGTGTTTCCAATAGAAATAAAATCCCTGCAATTTTTTTTTTGTTATAAACTGGCATGACAAATACTGTAGGAAAACATTCTTATGATACAAAATTATAAATATCAGCAAAGATTTAAAAAAAAAATTAAAACATCCAAATAAACAAACAAGACAGACAAAATAAAACTATCTTAAAAAGAGAGAGAGAGAGAGAGAGAGAGAAACTCTTAATCGTCTGCCGGCCCCCCAGCTCTCCCTTTGCCAGTGTGACTATTGGAGAAAGTTCCACACTGTGCAGAAACCAGGGGGCCACACGGGCTCTGGAGCACCACGAGCTGGACTCAGGGCACGAGTGAGGGCACGCCGAGAGCCAGAGGGACTTCAGAATTTTGCATCGTCTCTCTCCTCAACGTAGGACATACGTTTCTTGAGCAGAACTGGGTGTTAGGTAGGCAGACAGTGCGGCTGACAGGCACCGAGACAGTGGCAGGAGGTGGCCGGGGTCCCCGGCCTGTTCACACACACGCGCACGCGCACACACACACAACCTGGCAGCCACAAGAGGCTCCCCATCAGCATATTACAGTTTGTGGCGAGTTGTAGGGTCTGAGGTCACTACACTGCCGGCACTACCAGAGACTGTGGCCTTTTGCTGAAGACTTCCCACGTAACACACAAGAGGGGAGAACGGGAGCTGCCACGTGCGCGTTCCTCACAGTAGCTGAGGCCTCCGTCCTGGGGGACGTGGTCCTTGCCTTGGACTGCTCGCCTGTAAACAAGGCACTGGTGTTGGTGTGGAAGGAGAGCCGGCTACCCAGGGCTGCCCCGACATTTGCTGGTCTCCGGCTAGGAGCGGAGGGAGCCCCAACCTCAGAGCCCGAGAACAGAGCCAGTAGGGAAGCCAGCCTTCAGAAAAGAGGCCTGTTCGGGAGATCTGCCCCCATACCCACTGCTCACGGGGCGAATGCCATCAGCACCTTCCGGTTGTTGGATGATGGCACTCCGCAGGAACACTAACGGCGGGAGGAGGGAGACTGTATTTGGATCTGCTTATGAACCCACAACACTGAGGTGATCGCTCCTGAAGCTTGCAGCCTACGGGACTTCTGACTCTGTGCCACCACAATGGTTCTCGAGGTCGGTTTTTAAGGAAGATGCGGACAGATTCAGAAAGCCCAACCAGCAGTTCAGTTGAGGAAGAGAGGGAGTTTCAATGACAGGAACGCAAAACATCATCTCCGGAGTTCTTGCGGTGCAGAATTTGACAGGTCTTTCTACCTGCATCAGGGCCATGGCCTCCCAAAGATGTGCAACTCACTCGGGTTTTGGAGGTGAGGGGACTGTGTGTGTGTGTCGGTCACAAGACGAGCACGTGCCGCATACGGTTTGAGAGTGTCCACTCGCGGCCTGGCACCAGTAGGCACATCAGCTAATTCTTTAATACCAACGAAGATGTCGGCTCTATACCCTGAGGTTCCAACATCCACCACAATCCTCCACATGAAAGAACTTATTTCCTCTAAGCTCAAGTCGGGGTGTTTGGACCACAACCCATCACGCTAAGAGATGCCGCGAACAGAGGCAAGGCTGGCTTCTCCTGGGCGGATTCAGAAGGATGAGGCGGATGTCCAGGGCCAGCCCTCCACCAGCACAAAGCGATAAAGATCTCCTGACTCTTCCAGCCTGACTAAGGTCAGAGCCCACTAAGGCTTACACACAGTGAAAAGAAACCAACCAAGGACAACAACAACAAAGATCCCAACAGTACACTGCATCAGGAAGTCACCCACGTGCTCACACACACAGCCAGACAGGAGAACCACACACGCCGCCGCCTAGAGAAGCCACCGGGATTAGCGTGCTTTCTTCATATCTGCTCATTAAACGACAACAAAAAATTACCACGCATAGCGTGTTCGAAAGTTAACAGTAACGTTTCATACTACCACAGGGTTGTGATATGCAAATTTAAAATATTTTAAACAGAGACCTTTACAAAATAACCCTATTACATAAGCCATATTTGCATAGAATTATACAGGTAAATTATACAATATTTAAGCAGCAGCAACATATGCTGGAATTTAAGACTACATTAAGCTTGGTTGTGGCACAGAGACCAATGTACAAACAGGGAGGGGTCCCACTGCAGCCTCCCCACACTACTTTACATTGTTCCTTCGTATATTATACATGTGTACACCTCTTAAATATTTATAGAGATATTTAACAAAATAATACAATCGGTTACAGTAACGGTGAACCGCTCTCCTGGTGCTCGTCTCTTCCATGACACCAAGCGGTTCTCTTCGAGCAGTTCTGGAAAGAGGTGGGGGCGGGGGGGGTTTCCAATCTTTGGCCTCTTTGCTTCAGATTTTAATCACCCTTTAAAAAGAAAACAAAAGAGGAGTCAAGCCGAGTAACAGGTGTGTGAGTCCACGTTTATAAAGAACAAAAACAGGCAAAGGGATCTGGGTATGAGACATCAGGACAGTGGGGTGTGGGCATGAGGGGGTTGGCTGCACTAATTGTGCCCTTGGTGACCATTCGCTGAGGTGTTCGTTTACCATAGATGCCCCTTATGGCTCTTCCGTCAAGACTGGCTCATAGGCCAAAGGCACTGACGTCGTTAGCGTCTGTGAGTCACGCCAATCCTCAAGACACAGGTCAAGGATGGGGGCAAGAGACTCCCCCCGGAACTGGCCTCGTTCCCCAAAGACGACAAAGCTTAGCCTTGCCTTGGGGATGGAAGGTTGCTGGGGTCCCGTTTGGGTCCAGTCAGCGGGGTGCAGCCTGAGAGCCCCAAGGAGCTTTTCCCTCCGCTGCTGCCGAAGGCCCCGCTGCCCGTGTGAGTCCGCAAACCACGCGCACACACGCACACACACACCCCCTACCTCAGTTGGCGCTGCTTCCCCGGGGCCTCTCCTCACACTCCACGTCCTGCAGCTCTATGACTTCCACCTTCGAATCCCTCCTTTCACAGCGGACGTGAAAAGGCACGTGGGGGTCCTCGAACAGCCCGGGGTCAGTCTCGGGGTAGCCCTCGTAGCCCGGGCAGAGCCCCCCTCGGGGGCTGCGCCCAGGTCCAGTGACGGGCGGGGGGTGCACGGCCACAGTCACAGAAGCGGAAGCCGTCACAGTGGTGATGGGCTGGCAGTAGCCGGGCACGGAGCTGCCCACGGCAGAGGATGCCGGGTTCCGAGGGTTGTGAGGACGGGCCCCACGGGCCCCTGAGCGGTCCCGACTGCTAGGGCCAGAATGCCCGTCAGTAGAAATTTCAAAAGCGTCTCTGCGCGGTCTGTAGGGGGGCGGCCGCAAGCCTTCTCGGGGGGGTTCCCTGCGGGGCTGCTGGCCTGGCCGTCCAGGAGGCAGAGACCCCGAGTCCAGGTGAGGCTGCTGTCGACTGTTCGAGGGTGGGTGAAGCCTGGATTCGGGGTGGACCACCTGCAGAAGGCGAGGGAGGGTTAGAATGAGCAGGCAGGTTGCCAACTCCAGGCTGGGCACGGACCCCCTGCTCACACCCTTCCCTTTTCAGCTGTAACCGAGGGCTTGGCCAAACCCAAGGAGCCGGTGGGGGCCTTCCACCCACAAAAGAAAAACTCATGCTTTTAGCAACCTCCAAGACACAGCAGGAGCGCGTATTTGGATCCAGTTTCCAGCCTCGCACCCACACAGCTGGCTGGATACATACGGCTGCTACCCCCAAAGGCAGGGCTGTGGTCTGAGAGCCTCCACGCCGCTTCCCCGCCACAACTTGCCCCTCCCTGCCACGCTCGGTCCACTCAGACCCTGTGCTCCTCTTTGCCCAACACTGCAAAGGGCCTGGCCCCCACTGGCCTGAACGCAGGACACGGGGCACATGTCTATATTACGCGGTTAGACGCAGCAGCCTTTCGAGACGTGGCTATTTAGGTCTGGATGAACTCAAACTCAAAATCCAGTTCCTCAGTGGAACTGGCCACACTTCCAGAGCCCTGTGTGGCCAGTGGCTACTCTCCTAGAGAGCAGCGAGGGCATTCTCATCATCGCAGAGAGTTCTGCAGGACAGCGCTGCTCTGTCTGACTGTGAGGAATCTGGTCTCTGGGTCTCTACACAAAGCACGGAGCAACACAGTGGCCACATCAATCAAGAGGACCGTGACCAACTTCAAAGTCGTTCAGCTTGTACCTATTTTTAGGCTCCCGCTGAACAAAACCAGATTCACGCTGCAGCTCAGCGGGCGCCGTCACGGGGGGTAAGAGGAGGACAATTTAGGTTATTTGGCTGGCCTCTCTCCCTTTCACGGAAGGGCTGCTCTGGCCTGGGACTGGAATACCCATTTCCTGGAGGGACGGCAGGGGGCCCTCAGTGGAGCAATAGGAACCTCAGAACCTTCCTTGGGTTTTCGGTGCGGAGTTCCTGGCCGGGGAGCACAGGGCTGAGGAAGGGGCCGGGACCCTCGGCGCCTCCCAGAAGGGACTCCCAGGCTCCTGGTGACCTTCCGGAATCACCAAAGGCCAAGAACCCAGGGGTGACTTGCAGCCTCTCCCTCCTCCTAGCCACCTGGAATTTGAGCTTGGAGTCACAAAAGTTTCTGGGAAAGTCTTAGACGATAATTAAAATAATGTCGAAGCAAGGGCAATAGAAAGTTGCAGAAATGAAAAAAGAAAAAAAAATTTCTGCTTGCAATAAAAATACCACTACATTTTTAGAAAGCATAATTCTAGAGTGATATGCGGTTAAAAAAACAAAAGGCAAGAAATGCTTTCTCTCTGGCCCTTAAGCTCCAACTCTGCACACCCTAAACAAGATACAGGCTAATGCTTGTGTCGTGACGTTCCTGGCCCCTGCCCTCTTTGGATATATGGCTGCCCACAGGGAGAGGACTTTGTTATAGTTTAAAAGGAATCAAGTATTGGCAACTTCACGATCCGACCTGGCATATTTCTCTCTGTCTCCCACCTGTCTGTCTGTATGATCTGAAGGGAGGGGCTCACAGGGACCACCTGGCCCACTGCCAGGGTTGGGAAGTCACCCCCCCCCCCGTCCCAGGGTGACGTACAGTGGAGCGGGCGAAAACAGGGTTTTCTGTGGCCTCTACGATCACTTGGTGGGCGGGGCCCCCGACACCCTGCTGAGCCTCGTAATGGCGGAGCTCCTCGCTGATGCCGGACACCGTCGTCTGAGAGCTGTACTCCGAGTCCGATGAATCCGACCCACTGTTCATGTGACCGGGAGGCACGGCAAATCGGACGACACTGGGGGGCGGCTCAGGGGACGGGGTGGGCAGCCGGTTCAGGCCGTTGGCCGGAGACACCTGTTGAAGGGGATGTCACATTCCAAGTGTTATCGTCTGCTTCCCTGGGCCCGCACTCAAAGTTCAAAGCATGGTATTATTATTCAGGGGTCTCTGTCCTTATCCTGGGGCCCCATGAGTGCACTGTATTCACCTCCCTCCCTCTGCCATGTGGGGGACACTCGGGTCCCACAGCTGGAGCAAAAGAGCTGCCCTCTGCTTGGACACACTGGAGAGGTAGAACGTGCACTCTTTACTCATATTAAGCCCAAATGTTCATCTTGAGTGGAAAGTCTTCATTTACTATATATAGATCTATACAGACTCAGGCTGCCAATCAGTTGGTTTAAACAAAACCAAACCAGTTCTACATCTTCCAGAACTATTAAACTGGAGAGGGAAAAAAAGAAAGGCACCGATATCGAGATGTTTACTGAAAAACAACCCATAACTGGGGATATACCCAAACACTTAACTTAGATGTGGCACCAGAAAACACAGATGGGGCGGGGGGGTTATGGATCAGACGTGACGTGTAATTACCAACCTCAGGATACGGTCCAAAGAAAGACAAAAGAACTGGAAGCAAAACCAGCCCATTGAGAACACCCAGGATTGTGAGGATCGCCAGGACAGCAAAGAAATACCTTGAAGACAGAAAGGGAAATGATGACATTCCCTGTGGCCAAAGCCAAACCGGCTCCCCTTCACCTACCCAAACGCCGCGGCGTGTCAACACCAGAAACGGCCAGAACCCACCCCACCGAACGGGCAGTCGCCAACTGCAGCTCAAATTCAGCCCAAGAGGGGTTTTTTTGTTTGATTTTTTTTTTTTTTTTTTTTTTTTTACCTTATGACTTTGAGGACTACATTCCACAACCCAAAGTGTTAGTTCATGAAGGGAAGAAAAAAAAATTAGTTTGTTAATTTGCTGAAGTCTCATGGCATGTCATGTTATTTATGAATGTGTGACACAAACACAAAAATATGGAACGCGGGCTGAATGGCTGAGCAGACTGAAAGCACAAACACAATGCCGGGGGGCCCGCTCGCGAAAACCCAGCAAAAGCAAACAAATGAAGTGAAGGGAGTAGAATTGAAACAATTTAGCCCAGGAGGAAAAGCAGCCCACTTCTGCCGGCAGCTAATCCACTGTGAAATGCTTCTGCATCTTACGGCAGAATCTCTAATTAAGTCTCCAGCGTAGCAGGTAAGGCTTTCCCTGGGCTTTCATTAATCACAACTTTCTGCCTAGAATTCTGTGAGTTCCAGTTTTACCAAATAGCTCCAATTGCAACCTTTTTAGAACACAGGAACCAGCTTTCTGCAAAGAAAATGCTGCCCATTCTGTGCGCGCCGGGGCATTGTGCTGGGTGAGGGCACTCCACAATGCCGGAGCTGCTCTGCGGGCCAATCTTTTGTTGAACAATTTAGCATCTCTGAATACTCTTGTTTTGCGTCAGCCAATTCAAACATAAAGGCCGCAGCACCATGGCAGGAGGGGAGAGTGCACAAGGCGTTCTGCTTTCCCACCGTCGAGGGTGAAGGTCTGGGATCCTTCACGAATACCAAGGTAAACCTGTCAGCCAGGGACAGCCTCTGGCGGACACGCCACACAGCTGGAGGGTGCGGCAGACTCCACGCTAGGATGCCTTTCTGGAACTAATGATTTCCAGGGCAACTGTGATGGAAGTGGGCCGGAGCTGGGGAGAGGCTCAGGGTGTTCTGGGAAGAGGGAGGACAAGGTATCTCTTAATGGTCCTCTGGTTCATAAAACGGAAAAGGCACCCCACTTTGCCATGTCTATATACGTTTCGACATCAGATGAAAGGGGAGAGAATCCCTATAAAATACAAATACCTCGCAGCTATCGTAAACACTAGAAACTACTGAGCTGCCTCAGTAAGAACCAAGCAGCCAACGTCTTGCTCTAATGTAAACTGCTGGAACTTTCAGCCGAGGCATATATCAGCGGCAGGCATTAAGACATTTGCATCCCATCCATCTAGCCAAAGCATAAACAGACCAATTAGATTTCTGACGGCTTGGTATATACAATGTCTGCTCATTTATTCGACCTCGGCGAGGGCTTCATCAGGTTAATCCATCCCGTTCTAGAAAATGGGAAGCCCTTTTAAGTGCTTGAAACAGGAACTCTCGTGTCACCGGGAGGGAACAAGCAGCCATCGGTTAGACCAGAGCACTGGGATTCTGCCACCCAGGTCCCCAGCTGGGTGCTCTGATTCAGGCTAAGATTCCTCCCAGTGGCTCACTTAGCATTCCCCAAAAGGTCGAGTCAGATCCTCAGCTAACTTATGAGATCCCAGCATGCCCTGTGTTTTCCCAACTGTGAACTCGTCACTCCCGCCAAAGACCTGAAGCTGCACAGAGGGTTACAGGATACGCAGTCCATGTTATTTGCTGTTGTGCAAAATGGCGCTTCTGTTGAGTGAGAAAGTAAATTTGCAAAACGAGCTCGTTAACCCTGAGCTTTTGTGCTGTAAGAGACAATACCAATGCCCGAATAAGTCTATACTAGGAAAACAAAGGACAAGTCCAGGTCAAATTAGGAGCTTCAAACAAAACACAGACCAAAACTTGTAACTGAGTTGGGCAACTTTCTCTTTGGTCTCAACAAACAAGATCTTATGAGTTGGCTGGTCAGCTCATCAACAGTCTGTGGGTAGACGACCGGTGCCACGGAGATTGCCACGAACATCACCTGGGAGCTGGCTGGATATGCAGACTCTGCCCTCCCGCTAAGACCCACCCTGAAATCCCACCTGCACTCAAGAGAGCCTCAGAGAATTCGTCAACACACTGCGGTGGGAGAAGGGATGGTCTACACCGTCACAGCTACTCCACCTCACCATTCGCCCCATGTCACAACTCCAGTGAGCAAACTCTGGCCCTCATTCTAGGACGGCTGAATCTCCATGACGCTGAGCTGCCCAGAGGACGATGTCACAGGCCAACCAATGGATTATCTTTTTCTGTCATAAACAAACTTGGGCTACAACTTCTAGTTGAAACCCTCCTCTCCCTTCTTGAAAACAAGAAACCACCTCTCTTTCTCTCGCAAACCAGACATATCTCACATTTGGTTCTGCCCTATCATGGGTCCCATTCTGGACTATCTTCTACTTATTGACGATTCTGGCCTTGTTTCTCCACAAAGGAGCAGTGTTCCATCCAAGAGTGGCCACCTTATAAAGCCACAGAGACTGTTCAGAGAAGAAAATGGTTTCTTTCTCTGCGGTTCTCAGATTCTTTTCAAAAGGAAAACTCGCCCTCCTTTTATATTTCACAAAGTCATATTCTTGACTAAATCAGCCAGAAACAACTTGCCTTGAGATCCAAAGAGAAGTATCCAAACTAGGCTTGAATTCTCAAAATGGACACCGGAGCTAAATGCCAAAGGCTTCCTAATTCTATGTGGGGATCTGAATAGGAAATCTAGGGACACTGTCTTCATTTCTTAAAATAGGGTCAGGTGACAACTTTAGGTATCTGTAAGTTTTCCTTTTTGCAGTTTTGAAGGAGACACCAATAACTGAGACACGACTGGGTGATCCTTCAGCCTCAAGCTGTGGAGTTGTCTTTGCTGTTAGCCCCAAACCTCCATCTTCTGCCTTCAAGATATACCCCAAGACAGCTCCAGAAGAAGCTTGGATGTACACCCCTCAGCATATTTCTGCATTCAAAAATTCAAAAGCAAGTAGAGACACAACGAAGAGATGCTGCAATCTACCAGAAACAGAAGGAAATAAGCAACAAAGATCACATGAGCTCACAGCATGATTTTTATCACAAGCGTCCTCTCACACTCCTGCTTACCTGACAATGAAGTCAAATTCAGATCCCGCAAGCATGAGCACTCCCAGCAGAGTGGACACGGCACCATCCAGGACGGGTGCAAACATGTGTTCCAGGGCCAGCACGGCCCTGCGGTTCTTATCACCAATGGCTGTTAAAAAGGCCTGTGCAACAAGAAAGTTCATATAATCAGATTCCTGGATTCTATATGGTAAATGGCCAGCCTTGTCTGACATGCCATAAACCGCTTTAATCTCGTGACTGTTTAGCTGATGGAAAAAGTGAGTAGTAGCTCAATTAGTTGAATCTAGGCTTACACCGAAATGACCTGTCCATGCTATTGGGTCATACTCGGTGTTGATATACATCTTTGACAAGACAACACAGAAACCATGAAACCACCGAAAAATGAGCAGAAGTGTTCCTTTCCTTGCTACTCAAAATATCTCACACCATTCACACGGTGGGGGGGGTGGCCCTCTGGTTACAATAGTCCCAGCATTCTGGCAAATGTTTTGGATGGCCGAACTCTTGCTTCTGAAAGGGCTCAGCTCAGTGGCACAAGCAATTGGGTGTAGAACCCGTATTTCCTGATAATGACGCTGAGGTGAGAACTTCCGTCATGGCGTCAAACTGATGTGTTTGTCGCACATCAAAGCACTATGAAAGTATCACAAGAAACAAAGGACATACATTCAAACCCGGCCTGTTGTAACTCTATGTGGATGGATGTGTCCCTGCTTCTTTTGCATTCCTAAAACTCCTCCAGGTCAAGAATGCTGTTGATACCAGATGGAAGCTTTGCAGAGACAGGCCACGCTGTTGGTTTAAGAGTGTGACCCCTGCAGGGAGGGTTGAGCCTGGCACAAGTTCTGCCTCTACTTGAAAGTTCAGGCTGTTGTGGCATACACAGAGAGGTGAGGGCTGCAAGGCTCTGCAGGGTGCATTCCTGTCCCTTTCTACTCTGTGGATAGAGAGGAATGGCCACTCTCCTTCGCAGACAAAATATGAGCATACACAGGTGTGCTACATGTTCTCATAATTATCTATAAAACAGGTTTTAATCTCGAAGAGTTTAATAAGACCTTAGGGTCAGTAAAGCTGCCTTTTGCTCTCGGGAGAAAAGTACCATGATGGTTTGGCACCATATTCAGACCACGAGGCCATAAGGGTTATGCAATCTATCCTACTGCACACAGCCTCTACGTTACTGAGGAAGCAAATGGACAGGAACCCGCCAACTTCTTAAAGATGTTCATGGAAGAAGCATCTTCTCCACCGACCTCATTTCATCATTTTGCAAACCTTGTAAGAACAGTAATTGCTTACTTTAAATAGAACTTCACATATGGGATAAGAATATCTTATCTTGTGCTTGGATGGTGCTCGGATAAGCAATACAGTTTACAGACTGTAGTCAGCATTTCTGTGACAAAAATATGTCCCAAGATGCCCTTGCTTGCCATGCTAGCTACCAAAAAAGGTGGCTTTCATTTGCATCAGAATAAAATGACTTGTGGATTTTTAACTCACAGGCAAATCGCTCTCTGTTTCTGGAGAAATGGTGTTGGAATTACCAGTTTCCTAAGCGCTGGACTGGTGTGTTCTTCTTTTTTAAATAAACAAAAAACCAAAACAATAACAACAACCCAAAACACCAAAATCAATAACTCTCTCCCTCCTCCCAGTTCAATGGAAGAAAATAATTTGGGCAGGCTCAACATTGAGAGACCACTGTTTCTACATTATCGGTTTTGTCTTATACATCGGGAAAAAAGCAGTATCCTTCAACAAAACATTCCTTCTGAAACACAAAACTTTACAATTTCTAAACTGCATAACAACAATCCTGAAAGACTGCAGAAGGCATAAGGCTGCGGAGTATGTGTAAACATACAGATGCCATGTGTGGAGCCCAAGGAAACTCAGTGCTAGAGACTGCAACAGCAACACTAAAAGTAACTTGGTCCAAGTCCAATGCTAGGCTCCTGGTGAGGGTATTTCAAACATTAGTATTCATTCAGTCAATAAATATTTATTGAATGCCTACTAGCAGCCCCAAGTACTTAGGCTATAAGCACATCTGCGGATGGAACATAGTTTACACACTGCCATGAGGCTTTTGGATAATTCTTTGATCAACGTATACAATGGGCTTGTCTCTTGGCTTAAAGATTCCTCCTGAATTTCAAGTCCCTCCAACAAAGCTTTCCTAGGAAAGGCACAGAAAGAGAGAGAGGGGAAAAAAGTGCTGTTGAAAGCAACGCTTGTTCTCTGACTTTTTGCTGTCATGAATTTAGAGGCTGGGAGGTCCAAAGAGCTGGGTGGGCTTAGGTGGAAGAGCCCGCAGCTCTTCAAGGCTGAGCACCAGAGCCTCCACTCCTAGGCCCGAGGGCATCTCCTTGGCTGTAGGCTCACCTCACCCTCAATTATGCCATTCCCAGGCCTGCTTGGTCTCGTTTGGTCTCCACTGTTACTATTGTTTTTAAAATTGTGTGTATGTGTGTCCTTCCCACCCCATACAGTCACACACATCTGTCTCGGTTGGGAATAAAGTTGCACTTTCAGGATTAATGACATTCAACATCAAATGACCAGGGTCCTTCCTGGTCCCCCCTCTAACACATCTACGCTGCCCACGGCGAAGACCCAGCTAACTTTTACCTCCCAGGCCCCTTCTCCTTATACTCCTCTAGGGGGAAAGAAATCCAGAAAACTTCCAGCCACTCCCGGGGAACTCCTGCACTGTGAGGCGTGGGGCACATTCAAAGGCTCCCAATCGGGGACTAAGAAGAGAGCTAGAGGAAATTGTTTTTGCTCAGAATGCCCCCATACCAAAGCAACGTGGACGGTGAACTCCACTCCGATGCCGACAGAAGCGATCAAGATGACCACAGGCACGGCGCTCAACTTGATTCCAATGAGGCCCATCATGCCGAAAAGCTCGACCGTCATCAGCGCCAGGACCATCACCTTGAGAAGGCACAGGGGGATTAGCGTGTGGGCACGTCACACTCTCGGTGTGGCCAACAAGGGAGAGTGCCAAGAGATCGCGAGCAGAGAAATATCTGTGAGCCAATACAATGAACATACTGATTTGCTTTAACTTTGGACAACTATCTTTACTTCCTTATTTAGCTTCCTGTTGCGAAGGGAGAATCTAGGACAGCCCATCTGTAAGCCCGCAGAGCCCATGAGAGCAACATTTAGTCTTCTAATGCAAATTGTTTTCCCCAATACACCTGCTCTAGAAAGCAAAAAAATCTGTGAATTACGCCATCAGAGCAATCTACAAAGAATTATGTAATCATGGACTCATCACTTGGTTACAAGTTTCATATTGTTCACAACAAGCCCTTCTGTTTGGATCTTGACCACCAGAGACCGACCATCCATCAACTCACTGACTTTCTAGTGGTCTCACTCTCCATCCTTAAGAAAGCTGCTAGGACGGGGTGAATGTACGATCCGGTAGGTAAAAGGAGTCTTGCATTTGCTGGAGAGCTCCTAGGCTAAGGGAGGGTGATCTGGGAAGCTAGGGGGAGGGCGTGTCAGGTTACAGGGCCATGTGCTTTGAAGAGAGGTAGGGCAACCGGGGTGGACAAAGCAAAGCAAAGCGTTACATCCAAGGAAAAGCTTCTCTCTTTCATCTTCCTTGTAAAAATTTGTGGGGAAATGGAAAGAAAATCTGTAAGGTAGACTTTGGAGTTTCTTGGGCCAAAGAAGAGGCAAATACAAATAAAACAACAAGCTTTACACAGATGGAGAAGGAGGAAAATGAGCTTCCTTCTTGGGGTGGGGGGCAAGCGGTGGTTGTGGGGAGGAATACTGAAAGATGAACACCATCAATCACCGCGTGCCAGGAGAAACCTCACAGACTAAACATTTACCTTTGAACGTACCTGCTGCACAGACTCATGGTGCAGAAACAAAACCTGGTCTCTGTTTTCATAATTTTGGCATTTTAAAGGCTATACCATAGTTCACGGAATTTAAACACTGCCATGGTTTTATTAGAGCCTGCATGAGACTTACATCAAGTGTGTGAGTGTACTCTAGAGAAGGGATGCCAAAAAAACAGGCTAGTAATGTTAGTCTATCATTTTCTCCCCAAAGTTAAAACACACTAAGCACCTCTAAAATCATTTTCTTCACGTATCGCTGTGCTAACTTCTCTGATTATCCGTACGTGCTAAATTCTAAAGGAACTGCTACGCATTATTAGGTCTGGGATGAGGGCACCAGACAACACTTTTGAATTAAAAAAAAAAATTAGCTATGCTTTGAGTGTTTTTATTTGATAAATGTTCCGAGCTGTGATGGGAAGTGTGCTTTAAAAAGCCCCCCATCTTTCCACAACATTCTTAAAAGCTGAAGGAGGGGGGACACACGGTTAAGGCCATTAGAGGTTCTACCTTAGCCATGAACCTCACCACCTCGAGTAGAATAAATATATTACAGATGATGCAATCTATACCCTCCTCCAGAGGCCCAGACATAAACAAAATTTCCCGGCTGCAGAAAGAGCTATGCCGAAAGGAATTTGACTTCCACAAAGCCCCTTATAATAAACTCACAATGATCCCGGCCGTCCAGGGGTTCAGAAGGAAGACGGCACACACGAGGAACGTGCAGGCCAACACCACGCTGATGGACAGCAGCAGCCAGTGGCGAAGCCCGATGTACTGCTCCCAGAAGAGGAAGGGGTAGCCGTTCGGGTAGCTGGAGAGCCCTAGGCTCGTGTAGTTGCTGCAGATGGTTCTGACTTTTTCGATCGCTTCCACAAAGTCCGAGGTGTCTTGCAGGCCATTGAGGTAGAAAGGGAACTGGGCGTATTCGATGGGCTCTGCTGCCGGGACTGGAAAGAGAAGGCCACAGGGTGAGAGGGCCCAGGGGAAGGGATCCCTTGCCGTGGCTCCACAGTGGCGACGAAAAGAGAAAATGAACTTTGCAAGGAAATGCACTGGCTGCAAGTCTTATGGTACAAAGGAGGAACGATCCTGGGTCTTTTTTTCTATTTAAAAATTCTCATTTTCTATTTAAAAAGATTTTAAGCCATGGTTAACCTTTGATTTTCAAAACATTTTATTTGAAAAAATATTTTGTAGAGCTGGGGTCTCACTATGTCGCCCAGGCTGGTCTTGAACTCCTGGGTTCAAGCAATCCTCCTGCCTCGGCCTCCCAAAAGTGCTGGGATGACAGGTGTGAACCGCCAGGTTCAGCCTCTGACTTTTTATTTTTATTTTTGGCAGGTGGCGGGGAAGAGGCCATGTGAGGCAGGGAAGAAGCTCATGATCTGCATTTTCAGCCTTTGATTTTAAACTTCCAGAAACAATCCCCCTTTGGGAGGGGCCTAAATGGCTCCGGACTTAAATTCGGGAACAGTTTTTTGTTTCATGGACACACTCCTCACGGGTGTCTCCCAGACACACGTGGAAACACTGAGTGCCAACTATTTTATTCACCCACTTATGAGAGCAAAATAACGCCAGGCATGCTTTCCCGAGAAAAATGATTAACTTATCCTGTTAGTGATCGAACCCACTTAAACCTTCTATGCCTCTTTTCTAATGCAATGCTAAGTCTTCAGCAACAGGGCAAGAAATCCTCACACAACAAGCGTTTAGTTACTGCCGTTGTGTGTTCCAGACCCTTTGGGGTCATTCAGTTGACTTGCTAAACATGATTTGCCCTATTATAATCTCAACTATAAATTTTCATTAAGACAAGCCTTGGCTGCCTGCCACAGGGCTCTGGGGTTTAGATCCGGGGAAGCACGACTCGCTGCCTCGCCGGCCATGTTTGCTGGGGGACCTGTCTTCTTTCTCCCATCTTCCCCGGCCCCAAACCCACAGCATCAGCGACAACTCCTCTTCTGTACGTGCATACCGAACCCACGCAGAACCACCTTTCCGCCTCTGGTCCAAGGGGTGAAAGGAAGAGCACACTGTCGCATACAGACTTCCCTGCGCCGGTTTAAACAGCTTTGACAGAGTACAGGTGCTCGGTGGCTTACAGGAATGACCCAGCGTGCCAAAAATCCCTTCAACACCAGAGTCCACAGAGTTAAGATAAACATATAATCCCCAGAGATAAAATCCTGCGAGAGTGGAATGACACCCGACCTGGGGGCATCCCCGGTCTTCCCACGGAACAGCTGGCATCCGAGAGCGATGCCTGCTGAACCTCTCGGCCTTCAAGCCACAGACGGAGATTAGAGACTCTTCCTTCTCAACGCGATGGAGCGCTGGGCTGCATTCCGTTACACACGCTCATCTGTCTCCCAGAGTTTTCAACCAAAAGAGATATATTGTTCTGTTTATACTTTTGAACCCTGGGCAGCGTCAATGGATGAGGGCTGCTGCTGAGTTGTGGGGAACGGGGGAAGGCGCCTCTCCGAGCTCCCAGACCCCCCCATGTCATGCCACTTACTTCTCAGCCTGGTTTCTGGCATGTAGTCGGCTTTGTCATGGACCCATTCGGGTCGGTGGGGCCGGATGTTGGCCTGGGAGGCAGCATATGCGACGGGGTCGTTGCTGACCCAAGCCGTCAGGTAGATGTAGAAAGCGCTGGGATTAATGATGCCATCTGCATCCACCAGACGCTGTTTAGTCAACTACAAAAACAGGAAGAACAGAGGCCTTTGAGAGTGCAGTTGGGGGCAAACACTCCCGCCCAGAGAGAACAGAAGCTGAGCTTTGCACCAGCGTGTGCAACAAAGAAGAGAATGCCCACAGTCTGAAAGTGTCGAAAATCCCATCAGAACACCTTTGATTTCTTTCAGAGTGCACTTATCGGAGGATGCACTCGTTGGCGTGTTTATAACAAACATGCAGTTCTGCAGATGGCCGAGGAACTGGCTGAACCAATTAAATCTGAATGCTAAAAGACCGTCTGCAGCCAAGGCAGAGAATGAACAATCTGGAGAAACATATTTATAGGAGGGGAAGGGGGGAAAAAAAAACCTGGCAAGAATCCCCGTACACGTCTGTGTGCAGTTAACCTCTGTTGTTAACACTGAAGGAAATGCCACCCAGTAAATGGAGGAGAGCTATAAAAATAAAACAACATCTGTATAAATTTTGCTAACACTAGCCTCCTATGACCTGAGTATTCAGAAAATGCCCAGTGCCAGCAAGTGGGAGAGACTGGTGCACACCCATGGCCTCCCAGGTAATCTGTTTCTGAGAGGTCGTCACACTTGGTGTGCTGAATCCCCTGCAGTAGGTCTGGTGGGCTTTGCTTCGGTGAGAAACACTGAGATGGAGTGTGTGTGTGTATGTTTTATATACACAGAAAAACTTTGTTTCCTGTTTACTTTAGATTCTGGCCTCCTAATCCTCACTTTTGGTCTCTTTTAAACAAAATGAAATGAAGAACACCAGTGACAGCAGCTAACAGAGAGAGAAGGAAGAAAGTCAGAGGAGTCTGCTTCAGGGATCTGATTCAATTATTTCCCAGGATACGTAACAACTGTGTGTCTTCAGACTGTCTCTGGAATCGCATAGCATGGCTCATGGCCTCCACGCAGGCCACACGCTTCTCTCCCCGCCGCCCCAGGCGGAGGAAGAGACACCTGGGGGCCTGACCCAGTCACATTCACCCCCGGGGCATCCCTGGTCCCTAAATCCAGCCGACTTGCCGGGCATCTCCCCGCCCTCCTCCGGGCAGGCTGCTCGGCCACCTCCTTGTCTCCCCGCCCTCCTCCGGGCAGGCTGCTCGGCCACCTCCTTGTCAACCCGAGAGCCTGCTGCATGCTGCAATGACGCCCCAAGTTTCACACCCCGTGAGAACTCTCAACGATGTGCTGTGTAAATCTGTCACCTGTAACGCCAGCCAAAGAGGGGAGACGAGACAGAGAGCTGCTGAGAGGATCAGGAGCACAAAGGTTTTCTGCCCGAAGGTGAGGCAAGCTGCAAAGGAAGAGAGAAGAGGCTCCGCGGAGGCCAGAAGGAGCCAGAAGGAGAGTGGAGCCCACCTGAAATCTGAGGAGTTCAGACACATGAACCCCCTTGAGGAACCAAAACGGACATGCTGGGATCCAAGGGTCACGAAGACGACAAGAATGCAGAGAGTATGGCGCCCAACTGAGACTCAGGGCTGGGAACAGAGTGATCTGTCTACACCTTGGGCCGGGTGGCCCAAGGAAATCAAGTGGGACAGATGCCCCCATCCTTCTAGTCACCTCCCCAGTCTCCTAGTCCCTCCACCACCCCAAGTTCTGCTCATCCAAAGGACCACTGTCCACCAAATCCATCGCTGCAAGTTTGAATACAATCAGGACCAATGCAGGCGCAAGCACCAGAATCAGAAAGAATCACACGATGCCAGCACTTCGAGCATCTGAAAGAGCCTGCATTGTCCTGGCCGTACTTCATACTGACCGTGGCTCGGGAGGTGGCCCACACACCTGCCCCCGCTTGACAGAGGAGGAACGCGAGGCTCCCTGGCTTGCCTGAGTTAGCTGGTGGGATGAGGTGAGTTAAAGCCAACCCAATATTCCTTCTGCCGGCTCCTAACATCTCCTGAGAACCCAGGCTGGGATCGCAGGCTGTCAGACCATCTTCAATATGGCGGCCACCCCAGTCTTGCTCAGAGGCACCCTTAGAAACACCCACAGTGTAGACAGCGGGGTACCTGGCTGATGTCGATGGGTTTGTCGCGGCTGCCGGTTTGCACCAGGAGTTTGTAGGCAAGGACCCCATCGTCCGATCCATTCTTGTAATTGTTTGGCAGGATTTTCCCAGTTTCCCAGTCACTGTCAAATGCATCCTGGAGCCCTAGAAAAGGCACAAGCGTGTGATACATTACAACTCTTAGTCCGAATGACCCTGGTCCTAACGGGTGGTCAGGGGGACAGCCAGGCAGGGAACTGGTGGACGTCAACCCCAAACGCATTCTCTGTATCCTCCCTCCGCTTTGACGGCTAACCTCTGACTTCTTAAGAATGAACTGCAGGTTGCTAATGATCACCACTCAAAAGGGGGAAGGGGAATATCTGTTTCTAGAAAACGAATTCACATATCTTATCTTAAAAACAAAACAAAGAAACCTCTTCTTTCTCCCCATGACTAATTCCTAAAGAAAGCAAGAGAGAATGACACACACCGGGTTTATTAACCGTTTCCTGCCACGCAGGGTGCTAAGCCCGTGGGTTCTTCAATACAACCAGAAATTCCACTCGGAGGGGGAAAAACACATTCAAACTCCTGACTTCAAACAGCGACTCAGCTGCTTCTGGAGCCCGGGGTGAGCGAACACGATTCTGTCAATTTGTTCCATCTGTTCGACTTGTGGAGCTAATACAAGCTGTGGGATCCACTGCCAGGTTGTGTAAAGATCACAGCCAACACCTATTCACTCTCGACGGTTTTCTTCCTCTCTGCCACCCTTCTTGGGAGAGGGGGAGCGGAGAAGGGAAGGGTGTGGGGGTGTGTGTGTGTGTGTGTGTGTGTGTGTGTGTGT